GAGCGCTATGCGAAGTACAAGCATATGTACAGTTAGAGACATACACAAACAACTGTAATATTCGACACATATACACAAATACAACCATATGGATAGCGCTGAGTAATGCGAACTCATGGTTATACTCTACACGAGCAAACCAACCGATCGAAATAACGTGCGAAAACGACGCAACGCGAAAACTAGAAATAAAAAGAAGCGGACAAATCACATTAAAAGAAAAATGTAAATTAACAACGCAAGACGTCATAATACGGACAAAAAAGCCCGCGATAATAACAATCGTACAGACAAATCTACTAGATTACAATCTTACGATGACACACGACAAATGAAACGAGAAAATATTGGACAAAATTAGACCGATAAAATTACGAAAAGTCATTAGAAACCCGACAGAATTAAGGGACCTAAGCGAAAGACTTGACGAAACAAACTGTTCAAAATCGGATTAAAGGCGATGGAAGATGAGGCGCCTTAAACGAGACTTAATTTAAAGCGATAGGAGATACGGCTCGGCCGATCGATAATTTCTGAGAATTCGGGATGAAAGAGATGACCGCTTTCGAGGCAGTCGCTCTTGTTCTAGCTTATCGGGAGCTACGAGCCTTTCGACACTCCGAGCCTATCACTGCGCTTTAAACTGACATCAGTGGCGCCCAATCAGGGGCTGCCAGCCCCCGTCAATCAAGAAACTACCGTGAATCTTTCCTATCATAATTGTTGCTCCCTTAAGACAAAAGAAAGTGAGTCATACGTTCTGGATCCTTCTAGAAGGATTCAAGATAATAAAAGAGGCGCGCACAAGGCGCGGCCGGCTCTTGACAAAAAGTAATCGACGCGTACGCGTAGTTCTTCTCGCGCTGCTCGGCTAAGTTCCTTCGCGACAGTGAATCCAGTGCGCTTTCGCGACCCGCGATCCACCGATTCTCTGTGCGGTCTTATCGTTCGACAGTGCGGTCTCCTCGTACGAGATTATCCCTCCGTTGTTTGCGGAAATATTAGATATAATTTCATTAAATTGTATATTGTCAAGTCGCTCGTCTTTCCGACGGTTCCACGTCATCCTTATTCATCGAGATCAAATATCGCGGCGCTCCTCACTCTCGCGTCCACCTCTCTCGCTGACACAAACGAAGACTTAAATAACAATTATTGTACTACTAACGAACACTATATCCCGTAGCTTCAAGTTGCACAGGAATAATAATAATAATAATAATAATTACCACAATAGCAATTATATACGCCAAGAAAAAATATAAGACAGAAAAGAAAAAACTACCAGAAACCAATATAAATCCGATGTGCAAACCGAAAATAATTCAAGAGCACATCTACGGCACCGCAAGCGGATCGAATAGAACAGCTGAGATAGAAACTGACACC